TTTTTTTGTTCTCCTGGGGTAAAACTCTGTACTTTATTTAACATGCTATTGCAGCAGTTTGCCCAGTAATGAGTATCACTGACATTAAATATTTATTGGGTATCCTCTGTGTGCAGGACATAACACTAGGTGAAAAGGATGGAAAAAAACCATTCTCTATCTTTAAAGAAACTACAATCTAGTTTCTAAAACAAGATGTGTAAAAAGGATGTATACAAAGAAACATATAGTAAAATACCCACTGAAAAATATGCTTCTCTCAACTTGCTGCTCTGTGTAACCTTGAGAAAGTTATTCAATTTCTCTGAACCTCAGTTTATCTGGAATATAAAAATAATACCCGCCTCAAAGGAAAGCTGCAAAGGTTAATTGAGATATTTGTAAAGGTCTCAGCACATAGTAAAAGTTCAACAAAAGTGGCTGTTATTATTTATTACTATTACTAAAAGAAGAATCTTGAACGATGATGTCCTATATTAAAGAAATTTTATTTGCTTTAAAAGAGAAGATGGGCAAATAAAATATTTTGTGTCTATTTTTGTTTCTAGTTAAGAAAAACAGTGATCTTTATCAAATGCTTGATCAAGTCAATAATGAGCCATTTCTAAAGGAATTATTTCAATATAAAAAATATTACACCCAATGTTCCTTTACTACAAATGAAATTTAAGGAGTTACAAGAATATGAATTTTCTGGTACTTACTTCATATGGCTTGCCTGTTCTCTTGAAACATCATCTAAGATGTTAAAAGTAATTTAATCACATTTATGCTGATCTACATACCTAACAGCAAAAGCAGCCCAAGAACAGAATCCTATTCATAAAAAGGATCTTAACAATAGTCCAGTTTGATCTTTTTTTTAAGGAATAAGAACTTATTATGTATCTCCTTTATGAGGTATTTTGAAATTCATTTTATGAATTTTAATAATTTTTCAGGGAGGCAAGCACATGACAAATATTTTTATATTCATTTTGTAGGTGGGGAAACTTATAAATAGTAAAACTAAGCACAGTTGAAATTATTTGCTAAGAAAAATTAATGAAAGCTAGGCTAAAGACTACATGTATTATCCCATTTCTCACAGATAAATGTTATTTTCTCCATTTACAAATGAGGAAACTGAGGCACAGAGAGGTTATATAACTTGCCACAAGTCACATAGCCAGCGCATAGCAGAATCAAATCCAGGCTGGCTGATTCCAGAGCCTGCACTTTAGAACTCTATATTATATTCTTCCTATTACTTAAAAATAACAATTTTCTTAAATATCCATGAGTATATACTGACACAAATAAATGATTGAATAAATAAATGGGAGAGAAGGGACACCTCTTTATAAAAGATTCCAACTAATAAATGTAGAAGAAATGAGGAAAATAATTACCATTAGGTAAACTCCAATTGTTGCAGGCAAGAACCATCACAACAGCTAAAATTAGCAGGTGAAAGTATGATGAGAAACAGGATATTTTCATAGCCTCAACACATCTCTCCACATGACATATATTAATTATAAGGAGAAAAATAGTAGGTTTACAGTGGAGAAACCCAGCAGACACCATCTAAACCAAGTGATCAAAGTTAACATCACCAATAGTAGCATATATCAACATTATGTACCTCAAGATATTGAGAAGGGTACATCACTTCTGTGATATTCCTGCCAAAAATGCAGAAACTCAATCTAATAATAAGAAAACACTGGGCTGGGTGAGGTGGCTCACGCCTGTAATCCTAGCACTTTTGGAGGCGCAAGCAGAAGGATTGCTTGAGGCCATTTGAGAACAGCCTGAGGGAGAGCAAGACCTGTCTCCACAAAAAACAGAAAAATTATCTTGGTGTGGTGGCATGGGCCTGTAGTCCCAGCCACTTGAGAGGCTGAGGCAGGAGGATCCCTTGACTCCAGGAGCTGGAGGTTGCAGTGAGCTCTGATGATGCCACTGCACTCTACCCAGGGCAACAGAGTGAGACACTGTCTCAAAAAAAAAAAAAAGGTTAAAAGGCATGTCTATCTTTTGATTTCTCATAATTAAAGCTGATATTTATTGAGCATTTACTATGTGCCAGGCGCTAAGTAAAATGCTTGTCTGCACATTATTTCATTTAATTTTCACAATTTCATGAGGTAGGTTATATTATTACCATCTATAAGATAAGGAAACGGTTAGAAAGGTTAAGAACGTTACACAAAGACTGGTTGTATGGCACAAGCAACACTGCCATTCTTTCTCCATGTATTTTTTCAATTGCTATCAAGTAAGAGATCTAATTAACTTCAGTTTCATTGAATTTCATCTTTACTACCCTCCTATCCAGGATTTGAGAAGTGTTAACATGAAGCAATAAGGATTATGGTAAATAGAGAATTAATAATCTAAGATAATTAAGAGCTGGCCATATTGTTATTATAATTATACTGAGTCTTATTTGTCCATCCTTTTATATTAAAGCTTTGAGTTCTGATGGGGGAAAAGCATGATTCTGAATAAATATAAAATGAGCAGTTAAACCTCTCAACAGTATTATACATACTATTAGGAGGAAGTTGAAGTACATGTAATTACTTGGATAATCATTCCTGAGCATTTAATTTACACACATCCTTATAAGCCTAAATAATATGTACAAATGTAAATACTGCATTTTTTAACTTCCTGTTTTCTATTGTTAAAGCACTGATTTCTTGGACCCTGTGAAAACAATTTTTCAAGTAACTGCAATGGAAGCTTTTATAATTAATGTAATTATTCATATCTGAAGGATGTCATGATTTTTTAAATTTTATATGTTTATTATTGAAAATATTTATTACAGTTTATTTACACCCTAAATAAAAGATAAGAAAGGCACTTCATGCTGCCTTCTGTCTCTTGCCTACAACAAAATAAGTAACTCTGAGTTTATCCTGGATGAGTCACAAAGCAAGAGTTTGGGACTTTATTATTGGTTTTAGTTCTATTTTTAGAGGTATGGGGATACAAAAGAAGTCCTTAATTTGGAGACATTTAAAATGGTTTGTGTGGTTATCTTCAGGAAGGAAGTACACTGTCAAACTTCAGGACCATCACAGCATTCTTTAAATATATAATAATTATTTCATTCAAAATGTTCATGGTCCATATCGTATAACTCAATGTATAAAATAACACTGCCACTGACATCAGTGGAATTTTATGAGAAATAGAATGAGTTAGTAAGCCTTTTTATGTTGGCATTTTCCTCTTCCCTCAAAAAGTTATGTGTCCAAGTACAAAAAATCAAAAGGATGCAAAGTCTTTCTATTACTTACAGATTGACTATTGTCTTAAAAAGCACAAATTTCATGGACAGGCCTTTCTCTCCTCCTTGTTCTTTCTAAAAAATGCAGAAAATGGAAAAAAACTTACACCGAAGTCCAAATTATAGACAAGAAAAAGAAAAACCAAATGACTGGGAGATTGGAGGTGAATTTTCAAATATCAGTAATTTATAGAATTTGCAAGTGAGTTTTACTTTCCATTAACATTGTTTTGATGTTTTCTATAGTATATGAACATTTTAAATTGATTAGAATTTTCACACAACATTAGATTTTTTATTCACATCTTCACTTTAATATATAACTTTAGACTTTTCTTTCAAAACATATCTAAAAATTAGTAAAATGCCTAATGGAAGTTTTATTTACTTGATAGAAGAATTGAAAAAGAGAGAAAAATAAATACATTCTTCACAATTTCAGAGGTGACAAAAGTCTCTGACATTTCAAGTGGCTTCTAATCCCTCTTAAAGGATTTTAAAATTGCATATAATGTTGCATAATCTTAGCTAGATTAATGTTAAAGTGCATAATCTTAGCCAGATTAATGTAAAGATGCTATCAGTCTATTTCAATTATATACTTCTTACAATATAATGAAAGAATTTATTTGGTAATGCTTAATCTATTGATTAAACTGACCCCACAAACGCTGGTCATCATTTTGGTGGAAATATTTGCAAACATTTATGGTCACTGATTTCTTGCAGTTGCTTCTTGTTTTCGTCCTGATTTTATAATTCCTCAAAGTAAAGATGCAGAGAACAAACACCTACCCTTCTTTTCGGAAATGACACGATAGAGAGGAAACCTGTGTGGTGTAAACACAAATACAGACATTTGGAAGTTGATGGCTTCACGATTAATTTTGTTGCTTAACTTCATTGTTCATTAAGTAAAAACTTGTGAATTTTCCCTTAAAAATCCCCGCGCTAGTTTGTTTTTGCCTCGCTGAATATGTGCCCCCTACCCACTTTGGACTCTGTATACTGGGCTCTTGCCCTCGGTTTCAGAGTCATGGGTAAACCGTGCCCTGCGCCACCAGCTGGAGCCTGCGGAGTCCAATTGCCCAGGGCGCCGAACAGGTGGTCCCGGGGACAGCGAGCCCCCGTGGTCGACCCCAGCTCCAGCCCTCCTGGGGAATCTGAGGCCTCTCCCAAACCATCCCTAAAAGGTGTCCCCTTTCTTCATTCATTCAACAAATATTTGTTCAATTTCAGGGGCTCCTCTGTCTTCGGAAAACCAATTCAGATCTCACTTTGCAGCCTCAACACCGGGGCAATGTCCCTGCCTTATTAAAGACCCAATGAGGCTGGGAAGACGAATCTCGACCACAGCGTAGCAAATACCGCGTGTGATTTACTAAATGCCGTCCCTTCGGGTCCCGAGTGGCCGGGAGCATTACGCCATTTCCCTTCCCTTCCTCCCTCACTGCCAACCCTAGAGAGCTCTAATGGCAAATAGTGACCATAGCCAAGCTGTCGTTCTTGCCTCGGAGCAAGACTTATGCCAAATTCCTCATTCCGCGAGGCGCCATCCTCTTCCCCAAGCCAGCAGGAAGGCTTTAGGCCGCGGTGGGGCCTCCAGGACCAAAGGCAAGAAAGAATCTGAGATCTGAGAGGTCAGGCCTCAAAAGACTCCGGTCGGAAGGTTGGTCGAGAATCGCAGTGTTTCAGCCGGATTTTTCCGTCCCGCGGGAAGGCTTGGCCCAGTAACCCACAGCGGAACTACAACTCCCAGCACCGTGGCTGCCCGGACTCCCGGAAGCCGGAGCCCAGCCGGGAGGAAGCAGCTGAGACCCCTCCAACAGGCGGGGGTTAACTTAGCAAGAAAAAGGGGGCGGGAAGGGCTGGGCGTCTGTCAGTTCGCCACCATGAACGTGGTTTTTGCTGTGAAGCAGTACATTTCTAAAATGATAGAGGACAGTGGGCCCGGTATGAAAGTACTTCTCATGGATAAAGAGACGGTGAGTTTGCTTTTGCTCAGTATTTGTTTGCGAAGGAACCCTTCCTCCCTTACAATAGCTAGTCCCATTCCACTATACGGTTTAGTATTTAAAGATTTTTAAATAAGGGTCAGTTCTGTGTGGATCTAAGAAGTTGTATATTAAGTCAGTTGCGATTAAAAAGGAAAAAAAGTTGTATAAAGCTTGCCCATTATGCTTTCAGTCTAAATGGCTCTAACCACTGCCCAGAGACTTAATGTACTCAGAACAATTTATTGGAATCAGATCCTTTTCTAAATAGCCTCTGCCAAGAAATTATTACTATATGAGACAGAGCACTTTGAAGACTTAGGGATAGGCCTGTTATTTCCATTCAACATTGTGTTTTTTAAGTAAAACTGTTGGTGCTTAAACTGAAATGACAGGTCATGTGTTGGTCACAGATCAAAAACAAAAAATTAAAAAAATATGTTTTTGGAAATTTATGGATTGTTCTTATTCAGAGAGGATGTTTTTCATTCTGGTACGTTACCTGTTTCAGATGTTTAGTGAATGTTATTCCATATGTTAGTATTTAAATTATCCAGCTAAGTATTAATAAAGGCTTAGATATCGCTACTTGTTTTTATTATTCTGAAATAGCATGATCTTATTCTTTTTTTTCAGACTGGCATAGTGAGTATGGTATACACACAATCGGAGATTCTTCAGAAGGAAGTGTACCTCTTTGAACGCATTGATTCTCAAAATCGAGAGACCATGAAACACCTGAAGGCAATTTGTTTTCTTCGCCCTACGAAGGTACTGCATAAACTGAGCTGCCTCCTACCCAGGCAAATGCAGAACACTCTGATCTGAAAGCATTAAGAAGGCAAAATAAATTTGTATTATCATCATTTGTGGCATCATAATTATCCTGGTTTGTCAGTGTTATAACGTTCATTCTTCTTCTTTCTGTATCTCAGTTCACCCCTTACAGCCAGTTCTTCCTTCAAGATGTCTTTTAGGTTCACAGGTATTCCCAAAGCCACCAAGGAACTACTCTTAACAGACATCCACATCATTTTATTCCTGAATTAACCTCCATACCTGTCACGCTGAACACCATTGCCACTTAATCTTATATATAGCTATCAGCATTTTCAATCATTTTATTCACATCTATGCTCAGGAACCTATAGTGGCTCAATTTTACTTCCATGGTTAAATCTATATTTAGCCCAGCAGTCAAAGTCTTCCTTTAGCTGGTTTGGTCTGCCCTTATGTATCCAGCTTTCCTGTGTCCCAACTCTGCTCCTCCAATATGTCCAAATAGGCCTTTTTGTCATCCTTCTACATGCTCATTCCTATCCTTTATTTGTTTGTTCTCTTCCCCTAATTTCTTTCTTTCTTTTTTTTTAAATTTCAGAATATTATAGGAGTACAAACGTGTTGGTTACATAAATTGCTTTTGTACAGTTTGAGTCAAAGTTATAAGTGTGCCCATCACCCAGATAGTGTGCATTGTACCTGTTAGGTGTGAATTCATCCATTCCCTCCCCCCACCCCCCGCCACCTACTTGATTTCCATTGAGTTTTACTTCCATATGTGCACGTAAGTGTTGATCAATTAGTTCCAATTTAATAGTGAGTATATGTGGTGTTTGTTTTTCCATTCTTGTGATACTTCACTTAGAAAAATGGTCTCCAATTCCATCCAGGTTGTTACAAAAAGTATTAGTTCACCATTTTTTATGGCTGAGTAGTACTCCATGGTATACATATACCACATTTTATTAATCCACTCATGTATTGGTGGGCACTTCTTCCCCTAATTTCTTTAGTCATTTGTCCGTTTTGTCCATCACCTTCTAAATCTTGCTTGAGTCTCTCCTTCTTTAAAAATCCTTTCCTGTTTCAATCTTATATATGTATATTCTCTTGCTTCATATTCATTTTCTTCAACTCCAGTGCATTTTTACCATGCTGGTACATTATGTATTTTCTAAAATGCAAATCTGATTATGTCACTCCTGCTTGAAATCCTTGAATGACTTATTATTGCTTTTATGGTAAAGACAAAATTCCTTAATTGTGGCCTGCAAGGTCCCGTGTGGTCTAGTTCTACCATTTCTCCAGCCTCATTTCAAACCATTCCCCCTTTTGCACTCTGCACCTTAGTGGTACTAATCTTTCGGTCTGCTAGATTTCCTTTGTTCTATCATGCCACAGAACCTTAGCATAGGCTCCTCCCTCTGCCTGGAACTTCTTCACTTCCTCAAGCAAACCTTGCGTGATTTTGCTGACCAGGTCAACCCACTCTTATAAGTGCTCACAGCACTATTTTTTCCCCTAATGCTTGTCATGGTTGAAGATATATATAGTTTGTGTGATTATTATCTATCTCACCTACCAGCAGTAAGCTCCATGAAAACAGAAATGGTATCTCTTTTTTCTCACTCTTATATTCCCAATGCCCGCTGCTATACAATGGACACTCAATAAATAGTTGTTGAATTAATGAATATATGTTGTGTTATACTA